TAAATAATTTATTTAATAAACGATTAATATATCACGGAGCTTATCGTTATGTTAATTATTCGGATCTGTGATTAGACTATTTTATTGCGTGTTCTCAATCCGAATCTTATTTAGATCATCGAAAAGTCGAACGAAAAAACATCAGACAAAATATATTTAATTTTAAATATTTTAAAATAATTGTTGCCTAAAAAGTAAAAGAAAGAGAGAGAATTAATAATTAATTATATCAAATTATTTCCCGATACTTGTCGCGATCACATTTAGAAAAGGAATTTGACGGTGCGTCTCGCACTATTACATTACTGTTCGAGTGTCGCCGTGCGAATGATAAAACCGTAAGTCGTAAACAATAGGGCGCTATTGTTTACGCTGCCAAGACCGCATACCATACGTTATTGATAATTCGCAGCCAAAATTATTTTGTGTATTATGACGTATATACACGCGAAATATTTTATTATACAAATATTTTAAATTATAGATCGATTATTTAATAAACGATTAATATATCACGAAGCTTATCGTTATGTTACTTACTCGGATCTGCGATTAGATTATTTTATTGCGCGTTCTCAATCCGAATCATATTTAGATCATCGAAAAATCGAACAAAAAAATATCGGACAAAATATATTTAATTTCAAGTATTTTTAAATAATTGCCTAGAGAGTAAAAGAAAGAAAGAGAATTAATTATTAATCTATTATATCAAATTAATTAATTATATCAAAATATTTCCCGATATTGATCGCGATCGCGTTTAGAGAAGAAATTCGACGGAGCGTCTCGCAAAACTACTTTCCTGCTTGAGTGTCGTCGCGCGAATGATAACAGAGTCGAGGTATGTTAATGATAGCGCGTCAATGTTTACGCCGCGCCGCCAATGCCAAACACATAGTTGTTGATATTTTGTTGCCGAAATATTTTTCATACTATGACACACACATATATATATATATATATATATATATATATATATATATATATATATATATATATATATATATATATATATATATATATATATATATATATATATATATATATATATATATATATATATATATATATATATATATATATATATATATATATATATATATATATATATATATATATATATATATATATATATATATATATATATATATATATATATATATATATATATATATATATATATATATGCAGAATATTAAATTATAAAAGTATCTTAATTTATAAATTAATTATTTATTTATCAATTAACATATCACTTTCGTTATGCTAATTACTCGATCCTTAATATTGTTATATTCTTAAATATTGTTTAATTGCGCGTTCTCAATCCAAATTATATTTAAATAATCGAAAAGTTGTACGAGAGAAATAGAGCATAGGACAAAATATCTTTACTCTAAATATCGATGGAAAAAGTTATTGTTCGTAAAGATCGCAACAAAATGATAATTTATAATTTAGATTTCTGTCACTTCGATTCTACTTTGAGAAAGATTCTTACTTGCATTTTATTGGTTTGAGAATAATTTTATTAATGAGATTTTTGCGATTAAAATTACATCAAACACACAACATAAATCAGATCATTTTTAGTTAAACTAATAATAAAAAGTTGAAATAAAGGCTCTGATATTTAATATATAAGTAAATAATGGGCTAATTAGGAGCCTGACGCGGTAAATAATATGCAGGTGTTATTTTCCATGTGTTTCTTGTTTATTGGACATATTTTGATCCTAGGTTCGGATCTTCAGCATATATATTATCATAGCATATATATATTAGGCATCTGCTTGGAAAGCTACTCAAGATGCGGGATGACAAAGAAAGCATTATGTGACTTTTTGTCTCTTTCTGTTATAGGCCTTCTTTTTTAGTGGTAGAATCACTGTCAAAAGTCTATGGTGGTAGTGGTGTCGACTATATATACATACATTAGTGCAAGAGCTTAAGAAGAAAAGAGACAAAAGTCACACAATACCCTCTTTGTCATCCCGGACGTTTACGCCAGGCTTATATGAGAAAGCGCGTTCCACTATGTATAGAGTTCAGTGGTTCCATTTGAAATTTCGAATCGTTTGATTCGAAACCTCAAGTGGAACCACTGAAGTTCCACTTGAAGTTTCGAATCATTTGACCAATCAGGGCGAAAGGAGCAATGTTTTCTTTTTCTCTGATTGGTCAATCAAACGCTTCGAGACTTTCGAGAACGCACCTATGGTAATAAGTGGGCGCGTTCAGTAGAGAAAACCGCTCAGTAGCAATCGAACGTGATTGGCTCTTACTTTTAGAACCAACAAATCAATGTCGAGTGTTGACAAGATGATAACTGAGCGCTTTCTCTGCCGAACGCGCCCAGTGATAATAAGTTTAATGGCGCTAAAAGAACGATAAGGTTGTGCTAGGTTACGGCATTTTGAATTTTCTATGCGGAAAATGTCTAATCTTATTTTCGAGAAAACACGCGAAAGTCGTGATGCATAACGTTATACCACGGGAAGGAGTTTGAGTTACGCGGAGCGTCACTGCAGGAAACTACGTGGAGTGAAGATTTGCCGGTGAAGATTTGCTCTTATCAAGGTTAACTGGTCAACTTCAACGAACAAGATGATCGAAGTTGACAAAAAGGATTGCAAGAAACTCTTGACGCAGCGAATGTTGCTGGCTGTCGTCTCGAGTATAATATTACAATTTCTTCTAGTCTACTGCCTCGTCCTGTTTACAAATCTGAGTACAGATTACGTACATTGGCTTCAGAACACGTGGACAACTGTAACGTCACTACGAATGTGGATTTATCTCCTCATTTTCGCCGCGGTGACCTCCTTACAGGGTGTTTTCTGCAGCAAGATTTATCTCTACAGTCCACCATATTATAAGAGCAGATTTGTCAAATTGTGTGCAACTCTCGCAATTCAAAACTTATGTCTGAAAGGCTCATATATCATTATGGGTGGCATTTTGGTCTGGTTGCATTTGTCATTGAAAGGAGGAACGTACAGTTCCTTGACTGCAGATTGTAACATCGTGTATGGAACATGTTTGGTGGAGGAATATTATTTTCTACTATTCAGTGGTTTATGGAGTGGATTATATTTCTCCATTAAGATTAATGACTCCATGAAGTATTTCCGGTTTTCCATTATAGCGCAGTCTAAATTTCTCCGACTGAAACAAGGAATTTACACTATGCTTCCAAAGCTAATGGTTTCCTCTACATGGTCGACTCTGTATTACATGGCTATTTACTATTTTCTGGGATCGTACTGTCGAGGAGTACTGTTGTCTGTGATCTCAATACAAACAGAAGTCGAACCTTTAGACAATATGTCTAGATTGCTAAATCTGACATTAATATTACAATTGTGGCTTCACCAATTTATATTCATACTGACTACAAGCAGCACTTACTTGTTGTTTGAAATATATCTGACCGAATGGATTCCATTTAAATTTGGTTCAAGCGATGCATACAGTGTGAACGCTACAGAATTAACGCTTATAGATGCACTATCGATGGACAAGATACCGATAATGCAACACTTGGGTTATCTAGATTTAGTCACCTTAGCCCAAAAGGAGAAAATAAGAAGAGGAATGTTGTTTACACTCAGTCAACCAGGTGGTCATCCATACAACTGGAATTGCATTGTGCAAAAATGCATGGATGTTCTTAAAAAATTTTCATGCGACTTCAATGCTATATCCATAAAACCTCAAGAGCAACAATTTTGTTATAGCGCGAATGTATTGACAGCAAGAATCGCGCCTGCACGACCTGTACAAAAGGATCATATATATCATATGCGGAAGTTAGTACCGGATGTAACGCCGACGGTATCAACAGAAACAGAGACAAAGGAAGTTCCTTATAGTGGCATGTTTATCCAAAAGTTTATTAAACAGAAACGAGATGCTTTTGTAGCATATTTACTTTCTAAGCCACTTATTAATTACATCTTTGGTGAACAAGATGATAATAAAATCCGTTATCTATTATTCAATGGACAACTAGTGATTTGGGCAGCCGAAGCTATTTCATCATTATCGGTGTTTTCGCTCAGTGAAGATTCTTATGGCGTTGTACAAAAAGATGTGCCAAACATTATCAATACTTTGTTATCGGTGAAGCAGGTTTTGGATAAATTGCAAAAATCAGCTGTATTAGCAAGAAAAATTCAAGCTGATGATAAATTTACTAAAGAAATTTTTACGTCTTTAAGAAGTGCTATCAAACGTAGTCTGTATAGAATTGTTACAAACTTTGAACCATATATCAATGATTTATCCCTTGAATCTTTGACAATAGAACAACTGCAAAGCTTTCTTAATTATAGGGAATAGTTTGTAAATATTAGTACCAAGTGTGTGCTTATATATATAATATAAAACTGTAAAAAAAAAACTGCATTTCAGATTAATTATGATTGAATGAACTACTTTTTTTCACTTAATTATGTAATTACACAGTTTCAATATAAATTCTTTTTTTATACTTTGTGTTCACGAGGAAAAATAAAATATTCTAGAAAAAAGTAATCATAGATATCTATATTGAAATATGTTATTTTACTGGGGAAATATTAAGTTTTATGTATGTGTCTTTAAAAATACAAATATGCGCGGGAACAGCAAAAAAAATATTTTTTATTATGCATATATATTTTTCAATACTAATTGGTAATATAATTGTATGTCCATAATAAATATCAATATTTTTTCAAAAAAAAAAGTTTTATCATTAATAAGCCTCAATTTTGAGAATTGTATGTTATATAAAAATGCTAAAATTTCGAATGTATAAAACATTTCGGTTTATTGTGTTGATTTATTTATAGTTATTATAAAAATATTTACACGCGCGATATATGAATAATTCATATGCTATATTACATTTTTTTTAAATTTTGTACGACACTTAAATTATAAAATAATTTCTCTCGTAGTTTAAGCCAATTATTCATTTGCGCCTCTTGGATTTTTCGCAGATAATCTCGTAACGCCTCGTTTTCCGATATCGTAGTACCGTGCCACTTTAAGAACACCGCCAAATAGGCTTGCGACAATTCGAAATCCGTCTGTCGTTTTATCATGTAATGAAGCATCTTCATGAATTGTAACATCGACAATTCCGCGGAACTCTCGTCCAGAGATAGCGATTGAATCTCGAAATCAATGTCGCTAGGATTCATCGCTTTCAATTTTTCTACTGCATCTGAAAAATTATCAGTCGTGGTGGTTGATTGCAAACTTTTATTAAACGGCGTGAAATTTTGTAAAGCGGAATGAACACGCGAGGTTTCGGTTTTGTCGGCACTCTTTACATCCGTGAAATCGAAACGTAATTGTAACGACGGAATCGTGGGTAAGAAAAACGGCGCTGTCTCGGGAGCTTTTGGCGGTTGTTGTGGTTTATTTCGCCTTTTAATAATATCGATGTCAAGTAGATTCTGCCATCTTGATTGAGCCACGGCAGACATAGTTATGAGATCACTGTCGAGCTGATCGGGAGACGTGTAATCTGGCTCCACGGCGACGACATCATCCTCGTCAATATTCTCCTTAGCTTCTACTGAAGAGCCGGGAAGTAATACTTCGGGTATCATGTCGTCCTTACTGATGGCTTTCAACGATACATGTGAATAGAGCATACGATTTGACCATAAAAAGATTCCCATGTTATGTACATGTGCGGTCGCAAGAAATTCTGCTGTTGGAGAGAAATTTAAAGATATGCAAGCTTCAGGAACCTGTACAAAAAAATACAAGAGATTTATAATTTATATATTTTCTGAGATGCAGCGCTTCTTACTCCAAGTAATATAAAAAAATCGGATAATACCAAAACAACTTTTATAAAGAATTTTACAAGAAATGAAAATATATTCCAAAATAAGTCGTGTATATATAAACGTTTATAATTTTTAAATTTGAGATGTCTTTGAATTTTTTAGATTTGCATCGTATATTATTTTTATCTATACTGAAATTCGAAATATATATGATAGTAAGATCAAGTTTACCTGAAAGATATCTATTAAGTGTGAAGATGGTATGTCCCAAGTGCGGATTGTGCAATCCATAGATGCTGTGATTAACCATCTAGAATTAGGATTGAAACACGCATCCGTTATTCGTCCCTCGTGTCCTTGAAAATGCCGAACTATCGTTCTTGTATCCAGATCCATTAACACAATATCAAAATTTTCTAAGGCTATAGCTACGAGGGAACTCTCATTGTGATATCGTATCCATTCGATCGATTCTTCCAGCTTTAATATCGTCCTTGCCGTTGTTATACCTGTAATAATAAAGATTACGTTAAAATATATTTAGGAAAAATATAATTTTTTTTTATAATATAGATACCTTTGTTAGGTTTAAAATCCCAAAATTTGATTTTCGCGTCTCTGCCGGCAGTAATGACAGTTTGATTCAAATCATCAACCATGATGCCTTTAACAGGACCCTCATGAGCACCGTTCTGTTTCCCATAGGATGCTCTATGGATTCCAGATTGAATGTTAAATCTATCAACATGACCCGTGTTGTAACCGATCACAACAAAGTTTCCGCAGCTCGTTAAACATAAGCTGGTCGCGCAGGCATTGTAATTATTTTTAAATCTCTCGGGGAGCAGTTTAAGATCACCCATCTTCTGCAGATGAGACGACCACGTAGTGACTACACCCAAACCAGAATGAGTAGCCGCTATGTTGCACCATTCTTTCTCTCGCGTTACTTCGTACGCAAGCTCAGTTATCGGTGGCATTAACAACGGATCGTCGACCGAAAGACTTTTCTTCTTAGACGCTTTCCTATTAAACGAGGCTCTACCTAGACTCTTGTTCAGTATCTCCGTGACAGTGGAAAACAACCGGAGGGATGAATCGCCGCCCGCGGTCAACAGATAATTACCATCGTTCCCGTAAAACCGAACGATCGTCGGAGGTTCGGCGTGACCCTCTCTTATCCTCAAGAGTCTACCCGCTCCATCGGCCATATCGAATATCCACAGCTTTAGAGAATTGTCAGGCGACGATGAAACCAATAGCGATTCGTTCGGTATGTATCTCAGACCTGTAACAGCGGCGTCGTGGGCATTGCACAGTTGACTCTCCACTGTATGTTGCTCCAAATTCCAAAATACGATTTGCCCGCCTAAACTACCCGTTGCCATGATGGGATGGCCGTCCGTACGAAAGCTGATGGATACCACTGGGCCCCAATCTTGCACCAGTTCAAAGAGGGTCTCATCGTACTTGAGATTATGCAGAATGATCCGACCGTCATTCAAACCTATCGCAACCACATCTATCGCAGGCGCTTGCTCCAATGCTGTCACGCTGCTATGCCATCCTTTAAACATGTAGATCATTTTCATCGATTTGATGTTCCATAGTTGCAACTGACCTTGTTCGCTACCCAGCAAGATTTTATTCATATAAGTGTTGGGATGTATCAACGTGGTTATTTTGAAGACGTTATTGCTGAAGTTCAACTCCAGAACCAAACTCTCGTCTTTAATGTTCCAGACCTTCAACGTGCTATTCTCATCAATGGACAGCAGATGAGCACCAAACGGTAAAAGAATATGTACCGCGCAGTCGTGACCCTCGTACGTGTGCTTCAACTCCGTTCCCCTTCGCCACGCGTAAACTTTATTCGCGCTGGCCGTATATACGTGAAATGTGTCCGTAACCAGGCAAGTGATGTCGTCGGCGTGCATGCCCGACACGCTCAGCAAAGTGAAATGTTTACATCCATAAGTGTGAAACTCTCGGCCCACGCAAGTGACGATGAAATGCTCCTTCCTTCTGAGGATGTACCTCGTCACTAAAGGTATGTGATTACTAACATATCCGAGGGCACGATTCCGTGCGAATATCCTACTCTGCACCATTGTGTATCTCGATTCTTCTTCTTTCTTTAATTGGCACCTGCCCTCGATCGAGGGTCAATACGGCCAGAACCTAGCGTATAATGTATACAGAAGTGGCGTTAAGTGGTAATACAAAGTCGTTAACAACAATAAAAACACAAAAATCCTCTTAGAAGAGGAAAAAGTCCAAAAAATAAGGTCTAAACAAAGGACACACGTGCAACACGTCAAAACACGTCCGTACTCGACCAAGGCCGCAATGAAAGTGATGTATCTCGATTAAAAGACCTCGAAATTGTTTCTTTTCGAAATTAAAAGAGTATTTTTATCACTGTAAAGTTATCTAGCACATTTACATCTAGACTTATAATTATATGAACTTCTCTATTTCTTTTTTTTAAGCGAGGTTAGGTTTAACCATACTCATGCTTCGCGTGGAGTAATCACGGTGGTTACCATATTAAAATCATGAATTATGCGACAATAAGATGAACATGCAATGTGTCCAATCAGACACATTACCTATGGCCAGTTGAAAATAGAATTCTCTGATTGGTCAATTGTGTTTGTTACCCTAGGGACTGGTGAATATGTCCGTTTCGCTCTGTGCAAAGAAATATATGTAGCTAAAACAAATGATTGTCAAAAATATTAACACACGTGAAGACATATGATGATTGTAGCTGATGCGGCATTTATAAAAAAAAAGATGGATGCTTCTGTTTATAAATAATTGTAGCACAGATATATTTTCTAAAATTTACTGATTAAAATAAATATTTCATTTAATCTGACCCCTGTTCTGACAGTGAAACGAAAAACGTATGATGACAAACTTGTCCAAAATGATCAGTTTTAATGTTGATTTCTAACCTTTAATGATTCAATAGTCTAATAGTGTTTTATGAGAAAAATCTATGTAATTTGTTTTGTAATTTTTTTTTTTTTTTTTTTTTTAATAATCGCTACTGTGTATGACAATAATAATAGACAAAAAGAATTCCTTCTTGAAACTAAGAATCTCAAGTTCGAAAAATCAATTGATTAGTTGCACAATTTCCTGGGCATTGGGTTCAAGGTCTAATGAGATTGAATTGTAAATCAAAATATTAGAGAGGCGTATTCTGAAAGTAGAAGTAATTTTAATGTACTGTCCTGATATGGCAAATACTGGTTTGTTAGTTTTAACAAATCCTGCAAAAGTGAGAAGATTACTACCTGTGATTAAGGAGCATGTTTTGAAAACACTGTATATTCAATATCTTCCAGAGAAGAATATTTTTGCGCCAGGAAATTATAATATCGTGACATCGCAACAGAGAGGCTCTCAATATTCTAAGAATATTGCAGACATATATGTAAACACTTCCACAATTGCCTCTCGACTCGATATTCGTGTTTTACTCACCAATATGAAACATCCTGGTAGATCTATCATAAACACTAAAAAACCAGTGGAGATAGTGATCTTCGATCAAACGTGCAGTAAGAAAGAGGCAGATGCGTTCATACAAGATTGTTTAGCTAATACATCGATGGATTATAGCTTTGTTACTTGTAATTATGAGCAAGAGCAAAATGATCACAAAGACGCAGAATGTGCTGTACAGAATGTAACTACTTACAAAAATGTAGTGTTAGGTGGCACATTTGATCGATTGCACAATGGTCATAAGATTCTATTAAGTGAAGCTGCTCTACGTTGTACAGAAAAGCTTACTGTTGGTGTAACAGACACTAACATGCTTTCTGGTAATGATTTCTCTTATAACTTGTATTTTTTAATCTTTCACACAACGAGAGAGAGATAATATTTTTGAATAACTTTTAGATAAAAAAGATTACAAGACAATTTAATACAATACTTTTGTACAATTAAAAATAAATAATAAATATTTCCAGGTAAATTACTGTGGGAGCTTATACAACCGTGTACACAAAGAATAAATGGAGTTAAAGAATTTTTAGAAGATGTAGATCCATCAATAACATGCAGTGTTGTTCCTATTAATGATTTATATGGACCCACTAAAGAAGATCCAACATTTGAGATGATTGTTGTGAGTGAGGAAACAAAACGCGGAGGTGATAAAATCAATGAATTACGTTTGCAAAAAAATTTAAGCAAACTGTACATTTATGTGGTAGAATTAGTAGGGGATGAATCCTATAATGAAATTGAAGAAACAAAGATTAGTTCTAGTAATCACAGGATACGGTTACTTGGTACAAGACTGCAAGCACCTGTAGGTTTTCTACAAAATATTTACAATGCGATATAATAATAAATCATAAAATAATAATTGGTTTACACAAATTTTTGTGTAACTGGATGTATAAATTAATTAATAATCTTTTATTTCTTTTATTATAGAAGATAAATGATAAGCCCTTAAAACCATATATTATTGGTTTAACGGGCGGTATCGCAAGCGGAAAATCTTCAGTTGCTGAAAAATTGGAAAAACTTGGCGCTGGCCTTGTAAATTGTGATAAACTAGCTCATGACTTATACTTACCTGGAAAAGATTGTTTTCATGCGATACTTAAACATTTTGGTTCTTCCATTCTCAACTCAGATGGATTTATAAATAGAAAGTTACTCGGTGACATAGTGTTCAATGATAAGGTATGTATATATATATATATTTATACAACATCTCGTACATTTTAGTTTATTATTACTTACCATTTAATTTAATGGAGAATTACACTTATTTTAGGAGCAATTGGAAAAGTTAAATAAATTAATCTGGCCTTTAATTCTGCAACAAGCTAAAAAAGAAATAGATGTTGTTTATTCAAAGGGTTATAATATCATTGTGATGGAAGCAGCTGTTTTGATTCAAGCTAAATGGCAGAATGTATGCCATGAAATTTGGACTTGCATCATTCCACAAAATGAGGTTGGTTCTTGTCTTTCAGATAAATTATGTTTGCCTATTTATATTTAATGATAGAAATTAGCTATGTCCCATATATATACATATATATCATATACATTTTTTACGCTTCTCCAGTTATGCTTGCATAGAATATTTGTAACTGTTAACGTAACATTAATCTCTTTATCAGTTTATATTTTAATTAATGTATTTACAGGCTATAAAACGAATAATGAATCGAAATGAATTATCTGAAGAAGCAGCAAAGTTGCGAATTGAAATACAACCGAGTAATACAGAGCAAGTTAAAGAAGCCAATGTTGTCATATGTACTTTATGGTCTCATGAAATTACACTAGAACAAGTAGAAAGAGCATGGAGAGAATTAACAGCAGCTTTAGCCAAAGAAAATAAATCTTAATAAATTTTCCATATATCCTATAATCATGGGAGAATTTAACTTTTATTTGTAAATAATATTTGATCATTATTCTGTGATACAATTTGTAATTAAAAAATATGATATGAAAGAAATACTGGTGATCAGGTAAATTGTCGGCAATGTAACTGACAATACAATAGAATAGATATTAATAGCATAAAAGAGAGTGTTTTTCATTATTTACATAATTGCTATAAGAGATGAATATATATTATTTAGCAAATAATATATTGTCACTCAATATCAATTTCTCTTCTTTGTTTTCTTGCAGTTTTGTCATTAAGGTACTTAGGAACAATCGAAAATCAGTTTTTAATTTATCTCCACCATCATCCACGTTACACTTGACATGAGAGACATTAGAGAAGCTAGATGCTTTAATTATATAAAATTTAGAAATTAATAATACACACAAGTTATTCTGTTTTATACTATTTGAAAAAAATATTGATGTAGAATTATGTATGCGCATTTATCAATATCTTTTTATATTATTAATATACTTACAAACAATTTTTGATGCACTTGATGTAGCATTATCAGAATCAAAGAAGAATATTACACAATTGTTTGGCCCCAGTTTGGCTTCGCTAACGAAATAATCATAAAATTCTTTCAGCTGTCTCGAAGAATCCTGCGTTTTTGTACTGTATACAAGTATCACACCATGTACGCCTTTACGTATAGCTGGCCAGCAGTTTTTGAATCTAGAAAATATATTCCTGTCTTTGTCTTTTGTTTAAAATCCAGTATTGCGAAAATACATGTCATTTTCTTTATACTTGTGATCTCCACTGCAATCCCATAGCTCGATGTCCCTCGAAATGTGTTCATTATTTACCTCAATATCGTTTATTTCAAATTCCAATATTCGAACACCTCGAGTTGGACGATAGTCATACGGAATTTCGGTAGCATCTGCCAGAAAATTTGCTATCGTGGTCTTCCCGCTCTAAATAAATAAATAAATACATACATGCACACTATATACTTGTGTGTGACCATTATTTCAATTATTATATAATTATAATAATCCGATAATAAAACATTTCACATCCTTTCCTAAGTACTCATCATGAATATTTAATCAAAGGAGAATTTTCTTACCTTAGTTGGTCCTATCATTACCAATTTTAATGTATACATTATTTGACAATGACTGTCGCAAGAATACTTGTATTATATATACATCTGATGTGAGCATACACAACAATATAGAATGTATTATTGTTTGGCAATTGTTACTATAGTGACCATTGCTTGATACAGTATAATCAATCTAAATAAGTAATCACGGATCACAGGTATATACATGATTAGAACAGATTTTGGAATCCCGATTATAAAATTCTTAAATAATTAAAATAATTTGAGAATTTTTATCTATGCATAAAGAATAAACAAGAGTAATAAATATATGACTTAAAATGATGATACAAAATTTATTATTTTAACATGAAATATAGCTAAAAATATGCGCATTATAACATATTATATCAAAGAAAATTACAAAAACTATTTTTTATTGAATTTAAATTATATCTATTTATTTCGTGATAAAATTCTACAAACGAGCTTTACCTAGTTATAATAAAATGTTTGCAAGTGCATTATAAAATACATGACAAGTACACCAAATGAATATGTCACACATCTAATAAAGATTTATAATTTTATTGAATACACATTAATATATTCATTACATTCATTACAATACTGTCTTTTTAACAATATACATAGTACTATGTAGTACGGTAATCAATTATGTGACCAATGTCATTATTACCGTAATCAACACATGATTATAATAAAAATTTCATCTCGATTTCTATGAATAATTATTATATTGTAAAGTACATTTTTTGCTATATTGTGTAGTAAATTGTTCGGTGAAGTTCTCCAAATTTTAAATAAGAATATGTTTGATTTTTCAAGATATGCACATTAAAGAATATCTTAAATATAAGATACGTCCACTTCTTATAAGTTTTACTTGAATGTAATTAAGTATTCTAAAAGTGAGCTAAACACGAATTCACCCATGAAACTCAATTATAAAAACACAAAATGTGGATGTATCACATATGTGTTTAATATCATATATACAAAGTGTCTGATAATAATCGCCCCACCCGTAATGAGCAGGTAGAGCTGGTTAAAGTAAGTAGGAAAGTCCTCTACCATTTTGCAATAATTTTTCTTCACAATAATTAATGAGAAATTAATTAAAAAAGATCGACCAATGCGCGAGTGTAAGCGCACAGCGAGAAGAGACAACCAGTATACGGTTGCTAGGCGCGCGATGAAGTTTTGGGAGAAGCGCTCTACAAATGACGATTACGACGAGCGGTACATAACGCTGAATTCTCTTGTTCTAGCAACCACATATCAATGGGGCCGTCCTTACTCGCCGCTAATACTCGCGCGAATTGATCAATCTTTTTAAATTAATTTCTCCTTAATTATTGCAAAGATCGCAAAACGGTACAGGACTTTCTTACACGGTTTAACTACGGTTTAACACGGTTAACCGCTCTACCTGCACATTACGAGTGGGGCGATTATTATCAGACATCCTGTATAATCAATATATAAAATAAGTTACGCAACTTAAATGCGTCATAACACTTTTACAGTTAATAATAGGAAAAAAATGATAAAAAAGATAATTGAACAATTTCATATATTTACAACTAAAAAAATTATAAAACTAGAACTCTCAATGTGAAACACAAATTTGAATTTATTGGACTAGTAAAAATCAGATGCGGATGGTAATGCATCAATTTCAAGGAAAATCAATTTTTCATTGAAATTAATTAATTATGCACAAATTTTTCTTGGTATGATACCAAGTATTTGAATAATCTCAATTCGAGATCAATTATTATAGATTTTCAGAGGAGTTGGAGGATTTACGATAATAAATTATTATTTAAGTATTTGGTATTGTATCAAAAGAAATTTGTGTGCATAATTAATCAATTTCAATGAAAAATAATTATCTTTGAGACTGACTCACTACCATCTGCGTGTGGCTTTTACTAGTCCGATAAATTTAAATTCGTAATATCTTTATATTATTTTTCTTATTGGTATGTTAAGGATTGTGCAAATAATACGCACATGTAATTTTTAATAATAATTATAGATAATTTATATCATTATAAATATAATTGATATTAATAAAGAATATTTGATAATTAATTGTAAAATAATCACATATTAATATAAAGATATATCTATTAATATATCTTTTTTTTAATAAACGACACTATTTTTGTAAAAAACAAAATCATATAGAGAAAATAACTTCATAGAAGATTAGAAATAATTAAATCATTCAAAATTGCGTAACTTATAGCGAATTCGGTGATACCATAGTGCGCATAAAGGTAATCATACACAAATTTACAATAACAAATAATTAATTCTAAGAGAGCTATTATTATTGTTATTCAATATAAATAATAACTCATATTTATTATAATTATCTTAATGTTTTAATTATACTTATGCTTATATCGTAAATTTTTGTACAATAACCTTTAATGTGCACAATAGTGTAAAAGTAAATTGCAAGAAGTATACTAAAAATCCAAGATTGTTAATGTGTAAAAATAAGACATCAATGTACACTACAGATATTATAGATATAATTATCTATGATTTGTCAACAAAATTATATTTCATGTCCGAGATTGGGCTAATTAAGAGCCAAACGCGGTAAACAATGCGTGGAGTTTTGTATATGTTGAGAAGTAATTTATTGTAAGTTTCGGTTCTGAATTCGGACCATGCTTTGCAAATAATATTAATTGAAGCGTGCATGTATAGTTATGTCTCGGCCCCTGTGACTTCCAGTACCAGGTCTCGCGGATATAGTCCGAATTTTCATGGTTCCACAAAATCAGAACCGATATATTTCGTCCTTTACGGCTGGAACCGGAAAGAAGCGCAGTATGTGTGCACGTCCGTGAGTGTGCGGAGCGCCACAGCCAGACACATACACACGTCAATTAATATTATTTGCTAGGAATGGTCCGAATCCAGGACCAAAACGTACAATAAATTACTTCTTAACATATACAAAACTCGCGCATTGTTTACTGCGCTTGACTCTTAATTAACCCAATCTTTACTCTCGAATATTTAATATCAGAGCCTTTTACTTTAATATATTTCATGCTTTGTTGAAAAAAAAAAATTTATTTGTGATGTTATATTACGAATAAAACTTTATACATTTTAACCAACTACCATATTTTCCTGTTTGGCGGCATCTTCAGGATAGGTTAAGTTGTATAACGCTAACAGTGCTGCCTTAGCCGATGCCTTTTTGGCATCTTTTTTATTTTTAGCTGTAAAATAAAAATTTTTATTTATACATTAATAATAATGGAAACATCTTGCAATAATTGCTTCATAAAGCTATACACACCTGTCCCTGAATATTCAATTCCATCAATTTCAACAGCCAAAGTAAACATTGTATTTGGTGGATTACCAACACGGCTGAGTTCTACATATGTTAGTCCAGGTTTCATCTGATTCAATAACATAACTGGATGTATATTTACAGGATTAGGTGGAAGTTCTTTTTGAATGGGAGTTTTAGGTGCATTAGGATTATCTTTTTTGGCTCCTTTTGTAGCTGGTAAACCAGGTCGTGGAACTGGGACTGATGTTCCTTGATTATGCCATTCAAGGAAAAGTTTATAAAGCGCAAAACTGGCCAGTGAACTCCATGGAATTTCGTCTTCAGTATTAGTGTCCATAGGAGTGCTATCCTCATTCATGCTGTCTTCCTTTACTCCATCTGAAGATGAATTAGCTTGTCCATCTGATTCAGCATCTATACGTGCTTTCATAGATGCTGCTGTCATCTTTTCAAGTAATAAAGCTTTTAATGCGTTCTCGGCTGCGTTTTGACGAGCAAGTGGTTTAGATAATCCTTGTCCAACGTAAGTTTTACCATCAAGCTGTAATAATATAAATTAGGTTAATACATTTGATACATTTGAAAGAGATGAGTTTTTACACGCATATCAGCATTGTATATTAGATATTAAATAGTATGCACTGTAAAAATTATAATAGAACTTTAATTAAAGTGACAAAAGCATAGTGTGCAAAAACTGTTCCATAGTGTTACCTCAGCATGAACGAGATAAAGAGAATTTGTCATAGGTCCTTGAGTTTCAGGGAATGTAAATTGAACTCCGGCCTTCATCTCGTTCAAAACCATTATTGCATTTTTAGGCTGCAAAGTTTTTCTTAGTCGCTGGTTCATACGAAGACGTTTCAATTTTTTATTTACCTTAACTAAAAAAAATGTTTATATCAGATGTGTTAAATGTAAGAATACGAGAATAATTAGGATTTATTATATATGTCAGTATAGAAATTCACATTGATTACAGGACAATCAATGCTCAATGGTATAATACCAGAGCACTCGATGTTCCCGAATCTTCAAATTTGCGCAGTGAAATGTCATCATCAAAAAAAGAAAAATTGATTTTATATTACAATACAAACGATAAATGTACTGTTCAAATTCTAATTTTTTTTTAAGCTATTTATACTCTTAAGTTTTGGCAGATTTGTTTAACATTACATGATTCTGTAATTGAAGATACATATGAATAATAATTTTATATTCATACAATTGTTTAAGTCATCAGAGAATTTATAATTAAAAATTTGCTTAAAATTTAAATATTGTGACAAGATTATATCTTTGTGATATGTTTTTATATTATAAATATATAGTAAATATTTAAATTAGAATTCTAGAGATAGATATATATAAAATTGTATATCTCTGTATCTAATTTATAATTAATTTGAAAATATTTACATCCAGGTATTTTTCTTCGCCATCTTGGTTGAACATCTTGCATTTCAATATCTGCATCTTCTGTCTTTATACTATCATCATTAACATCAGAATTGTTATTAGTAGAATCGGAGAATAGAGTCGGAGCAGGTACTACTGGAGGCACACAAGGCTGAGAAGTCACGGGCGTAATTTGCGCAGCAGTTGTAGCTGGCTGCACAAATGTTGGTGTACTTTGTTTTAAGATTGGCTTCAATCGTTGTGGCAATGGAGGCGGATTTGGTGCCTGCTGCTGTTGGGGTTGTTGTTGCATTTGTTGCTGCGGCGGTGGCTGCTGTTGTAACATTTGCTGCTGTCCTTGTTGCATTTGCGATTTTAATTGTGTAGGTGCCATAGTTGATAAAGGCCGAGTTGCTGCAGCTGGTGGCAATTGCGCTGGCTGTTGTTGTTGCTGCTGCTGCTGCTGCTGCTGCGGCTGCGATTTGAAGCCTTGTGAGTTTTGTATGTTGCCTTGTTTGTAATTGCTTTGTTGATTGGACGTAGATTGCGATGCTTGGTAACTTCCTTGTGTATTATACTGTAAAACATAGGGTGGGTCGCCGCTACACAAGGAACCTCTACGGTTGTGCTACCCCACCAAGGTCTAGCATCGTATGCTAGAACCATTAAACGCTACCTCCATAGCTCATACCAACCATGTTACCTTTACTGTGGCCAACGTCTCTTTACTCATGACTGAGCTAAGTTTTTGTTGAATTAAAAGTATATTATGTATTAATAAATAGTATTTATAATATGATAGACTCTCCTATAAGAAAAAGCATGATAAATAATGCTTTTCTATTGTGTGGGTACCCAAATTAAAATACATTTAAAAAGTGAAAAGAGATTGTCAGAAAAAACGTTAATATTATTATGTAATAAAATTATATTATAAATTAATATAAATATTGAAAATAATAAAATCTGATTTCTTATTTGGTTTAAATAAAAAATTTAAGAATCGAAATTAAAGATATCATGCAATAAGTAAAATGCTTACAATGATATAGCATTTCTACAATAGTAAAATTTGCTTAGACACGAGTTCAGCACGAACTACCAAGAAAACGGCCTACGGTAGGGTATGCTATGTGGGTAACTGACGACCTAGTCCCTGGTCGAATGCACCTCCTCGGTATTGTTGTATAGCTACTAGTACCTGCGTTGCAGGGGAGGGGAAAGTAGGGACCACTAATTAGTATGTGCAAGTGAAACAATCTTGCTGACAGCAAATGGAACTCATATTTGGATTATGAATAAAAACTAACATATTATATACATTGGCATTATTGCATTGATTAGTGTGTGTGTCTCATGTACAATCAATATTTTAAATCATTATTTAAAAATGCATATTGTAACACATTATAGTACTAATTTAAATACAAGATTTATGATATATAAAAGTCAACTTTATTTAATTATTTCTTGACAGTGTTAAAATTTATATTAATATATTTTATATATAATTGAACACATACAGACATACACAAATAAATTTTTGTTGTAATATAAAAATAATATCTTTCTAGAAGTGTATGTATGTTTTAAGAATAATAATATCGACAAAAGTTAGAAAGAAAACAATTTTATATGTAATGAATATCAATCATCGAACAACAGAGATAGATTAATATTATTTAAACAGATTTTAAATTTTAAACTGACAAACTGATAAATTGAAACTGAAAATTTCAAACAAAAAACATTTGAACTGAAAAACTGACAAACTTGATAAATTTTGTTAATGTTTATTTTTCGTATTTATTGATGCAGAAGATTACATAATGTGGAATATTTTTTTATATTTTTAGAGAATAAGAAATATATATGTGAAAATTATATCTATATAAATATATATACATGGGATATTTAATTAACTGTATTATGCCCCATTTTCTAAGGAACTCTTGACGATATCAAGAAACACTTTTTTTAAATTTTATCGAATAGTTTTTTTTTATATTATGTAGTAAAATAGATATTAAAGCCATTGTAAGGGGCAATTACAAAATTTTTAGTGAAATAGTAATTAAATTCGGATAAAGTTCCGAAAAGAGCTTATCTCCGATTTCGATGAAACTTTGTGAAAAGCTTCCTTTCAGGTTAAAATGGAAGTCTCTAAAAGGAATTTTGGCGACTTCTATAAGAAAGTCATTTTTTAAGAGAAAATGATACCGAATCGGTAATTATTTACATTAACGGACACCTCGCCGATGATCTTGACCTTTACATATGTTGTAAGGCTGAGGTTACTAATTAATATTTACTTTGTTTTATTTGGCAGAAAAATTCCCAGCCAAAATTCCCTTTAGAGGCTTCCATTTTAACTTGAAAGAAAGCTTTTCACAAAGTTTCATCGAAATCGGAGCTAGATTCTTTTCGGACTTTTTCCACCCTTAAATTCTTATACATTTTTAAAGATCTTATTTTAATCTAAATTTGATAAAATTTAAAAAAAGTTTATATCGATATCTTTAATAGTTCCTTAAAAAATGGAACATAATAAAGTTAGTAAAACACTTGTATATATACATATATATGAATGTGTGTGCGTGTATGTATTTATTTTTTTATTTTTGGATGAACCACATACATAATGAATAAATAAAATATTTTTAACAATTAATGAGTAACTGCTTTTGTTTCTTCACTTTTTTTATGAGTATAATTATAAAACTAACTTCTATTTTTGATCAATTTTAATACTTTCAAGAATAATGATAAATACATGGGTTTTCTCTCTAAAATAAAATTTTTCCAAAATGTAATATTTTTATCTAATTTTTAAGTATAGATTATCTGTTTGTTAAGGAGAGCATTATTATTTTAATTACTTTTTAATGTATTTTTCAGTGACATTCTTTTCTTTACATGAGATATAAAAATGCTTTAATAATTTAGTTAAACTTTAATGCACACATATTATATTGTCATAAATTTTATACATGTATTATTATAATACACCATATTATTATATATATATAGTGTATTATCTGGTTGTTACTAATAAATTAAAAAAAATGAATCTAATAAAATTCTGCAAAAATAATTTGTTACATTAGAAACAAAGTTTTTATATTTCTCTTTAATATAAATTATATTTTTGATGTATATATATATGCATATGTAAACTAATATTAAATTATGTTATTGAACAATATATTAAGGAAGAAATAGAATTGTATTATATATTATGTAAATAGGTAAAATTGGGACAACTTATGAGGCAAATTAAGCATATCATTTATATGCCATATATAAGAATTAATTACATATAATAATGCTCTTAATCTTTTTTCTTTATCTCCTTTCTACAATTGTTAAAAAATTTGTATAATGTTATTTAAATGTAACTAAACGAAAATTATCTTAATAGAATAACATCTTATGCAACTATTGCTATTTTCTTCGAGAGCAATGTTTGTGACTATGTTTTCATATAAAATAAAATACTTTCAAGTTAAAATTATTACATTCAATAATCTTAATTAATTATTATATGTATATATGTGTATGTATGTGTTTTGAAACTACAATAATACCTTTGATATATATCTTGTATAATAATACCTTTACTGCACCTTGCATAATTGTTTTATTTGTCTTTATTTATCTGTATATGATATTGTATGTAATATATTATTGATGTAATATTATTATTGTATATGATATATTATTGTATGTGATATATTATTGATATGTGTATGTATAAACAACAGACATTATTATAGATAGAAAATATGGATATTATTGTAGATATTATTATAGATATAAAAAAAGAAGAAAACTTACTGGCATTGGATAGGACCCTTGAACTTGGGAATTGTTTGCATTCCGTGCTGCAATACAAAATCATTTATTAATACTTTATAAGAAAATATAACATATTAATGATATTGCGAGCAAGGAATTTATTTCCGAAATTTATTCAATTCTCTAAATATATATATATA